TAGAAACAAATAAATGTTCAGGTCATACGAAAACACTTCTCAACACAGTACATCTCAACAAAACAGAGGAGAGAAAGTTTTTGCTGTGCCCAAATCTGTTTTTAGCCATTATTTTATTCCAGTTGGAAACCACTGCTCGAAAGATTGTTCTACATCACTCTTCCATGTGCCATATACAATACCATATGCGAGCCGCTCTATCGAAATCAGTCGGAAGTCTCAACGGCTCATTTCAAAATAAACGTGGATTTACGTAAAAAACTATTTTTTCACGCGTGAGGCTTTTATTAGCTTTTATTAGTCTCCTTTTATCAGCTAAATTACATCGAGAGCAACAGGTGTGAGTTAAACAATACAATAGCCTATTCTGCTAATTCCACGTTGTTACAACATGCTACGCAGCGGCAGAAACAAGAAAAGTTGACATATAGAATTGACACGGGGAGAGAGAGAGGGAGAGAGACAGAGACACAGGTAAACAGAGAGAGACAGACACAGCACACAACAGGTAGCCTGTATCTCTATTGTCATACAAAACACTTTTTCAAATGACCCGTTATTACAAAATATATTCAAAACTCACTATTCACTTTTCAGGTGGGTCGTGTGATTCATGCACCTGTTCGACTTGTACCTCAATGCGAGGGCGTTTAAGAACAAATCTATCCATCCGAAATATACAATTAATCCTTGAAGTTCTGCTGTCTGTCTGCAATTTACTCGGCGCGAGTTTGGGGACTATTCACTATGAACTAGTGATGGGTCGTTCGCGAACGATTCGTTCTTTTGGAACAAATCTTTGAAGTGAACGAGATGAACTGATCCCTCCCACAAAACGATTCGTTTGTTTGAGTCTTAAAGAACTGGCGGAAACAGTTCAGAACTGTTTCCTATAGTGTACTGTAATCAGAGCCCTCTCACCTGAGCTCCGTTACACACACACACACACACACACACACACACACACACACACACACACACACACACACACACACACACACACACACACACACACACACACACACACACACACACACACACACACACACACCTCAACCTGTCCGCCATAAAGAGGACGGATACCTGAACCGTAGCGTCCAGCTAGCTTAGCGATAAATACACACATCGTTGTATTCGCCTCCCCCTGTCGGCCCTAAAAGCTGAGCTCCATAGTGTCCCGCTAATGTGAAACACACACACACAGCGTTAGCGGGACATTCTCCTCCACCTGTCGGCACTAAAAGCTTCAGAGGGCGGATAGCTGGGCTCCGTAGAGTCCAGCTAGCTTAGCGATAAATACACACAGCGTTGTATTCTCCTCCCCCTGTCGGCCCTAAAAGCTTCAGATGGCGGATACCTGAGCTCCATAGCGTCCCGCTAATGTGAAACACACACAGCGTTAGCGGGACATTCTCCTCTCCCTGTCGGCCCTAAAAGCTTCAGAGGGCGGATAGCTGGGCTCCGTAGCGTCCCACTAGCTAAAGGTAAACATAGATGGGTACATAGAATATGAATAAATCGTCACCGATGTAGAGTATATATTTTTGTATTCACTTTGAATTCTGCCAAATGGAGTTTAATGCTTTGGGATTTAAGTTAGGCCACATAGTACGTGCATGGGTTTGAAAGTATAACGTGCTAGCCTGCTGTAATACATCGTATAGTCAGGCACAAATTTATGAGAGATTTAACAATGGCCAATGATATTTCTTAAATAATATGTAGCCTATTCCCAGAGCATAATTCATGGGGCAACAAGTTGAGGTGTAAAATGTGTTTTAATATCATAAATGTTACGCCAGCAAACTTCTTGTACGGACTTCGGCAGTAGTGAAGACTCACTGAACGAATTAAGTACAAAGACGAATCGTTCGCGAACGTGCAAATCACCAGAAGTCGTTCGCGAACCGGTGAACGAATCAGTGAACGAATCTTTCAAGTGAACTGAATCAAAAGATTCGTGTCCCCGAAGGGAATCGGAATTCCCATCACTACTATGAACGTGACGTATCAGTAATGCATGACGCAGCAGACCCAACGTTTCGTTGCTCTGATTGGCTGTAGGTCTGTTCAAATTGCATTCGGAGGCATTTTGATCTGACCGCGGCCGCGCTGATATTATAACGCGAGAGAATGTCCACACCTTTAGTGTATAAAACTCCCCCACTAGACTATTCCTTGCACCCCTCTAGCATAAGCCCGAATGGTCTCAACCATATTGCGTCAGTAACGTGCACTTGTTGTTACAGCAGGATCAGTTTGTGTGTTGTGGACACGACCGGTAGATTTTCGCAATCCGTGTTCTCAACATGCTTACTTTAACATAATTTTTCATGGTCGGGCTAAGGTAGGGCTAAGCTATTTCTTGGTATGGCTGTAGCCTACCCCAGCCATACCCTGGCGCCGCCACTGTCTGCATGTAACCCAGCCGCAGTGCAGCGCCCGGGGACCAAATCTGGTTCCAAATTCCGTCTATAACGTTTTACAACCTGAAGATACAAAACACATATTTCTGTTATAACAACACTACTTTTAATAACATAGCCGTAACAGTAGGCCTAACAGTGTAATACTTGTTACTGATACAGTAAACAATTTAAATAAATGAAGAACGAAAAATGAACGAACTGTATGCCAATAATTGCCTTAGCCCCAGATGTTCCCACATTGCTCCTATTATTTTCACTATTCGGATAAAATTGAAAAACTAATGTAAAAAACCAATTCGGTTGCTTGCTTGCAACTATTTTCCAAGCAAAGTAAGTGCACGATTTTATCATGTGTAACGTTACTGTTTAAACGGCGGATAAAGCAGCTTCATCACGGCAACTTGACAACAGCTAAGCTAAGCTAAGCTAGGCTAGTATTTACAGCATCCGGTGACTTTTCAGAGTTGTTGTGCCACCGTGGTAGGCCAGTTTCTTGTCGCATATTTGGCACACTGCCTTCTTCTTACCGTCGTCCAATTTAAAATGGTCCCACACAGCTGAAGTCTTTGGCATTTTGTGTTCAGGTGTGTGAAACGAGGTGAAGCGAGGTGAAGCGTGCCGTTTGCGTTCGTGACTGTGAGTGAACGCGATGTCAGGAGCACAGGCTGATATTGTATATATTTCCGCATTTTAACAGTGCAATTCAAAAGTATAAATATAGTATAAGAATATGGCAATTCGCCTTTATTGATAGCATAGATTTAGGGGGAAAAAAATATTTAAAAAAACAAACAAAAAAAAACGAATATCCGAATAATGAAATTGAAACCCGAATAGTTGGCCAACGAACGAATATTCGAATAGTCGACTATTCGGGTACAGCCCTACTGTCCACTCCAAGTAGGGAATGAGTCCTTACCCCAAGTGAAGGAGTTCAAGTATCTCGGGGTCTTGTTCTCGAGTGAGGGAACAATGGAGCGTGAGATGGGCCGGAGAATCGGAGCAGCGGGAGCGGTACTGCAGTCGCTTTACCGCACCGTTGTGACGAAAAGGGAGCTGAGCCAGAAGGCAAAGCTCTCTGTCTACCGGGCCATTTTCGTTCCTACCCTCACCTATGGTCATGAAGGATGGGTCATGACCGAAAGAACGAGATCGCGGATACAAGCGGCCGATATGGGTTTTCTCCGCAGGGTGGCTGGTGTCTCCCTTAGGGATAAGGTGAGAAGTTCGGTCATCCCGGAGTTGAGCCGCTCCTCCTTCGCGTCGAAAGGAGCCAGTTGAGGTGGTTCGGGCACCTAGTTAGGATGCTACCTGGGCGCCTCCCTAGGGAGGTGTTCCAGGCACGTCCAGCTGGGAAGAGACCAAGGGGTAGACCTAGGACCAGGTGGAGGGATTTTATCTCTTCGCTGGCCTGGGAGCGCCTTGGGATCCCCCAGTCAGAGCTGGTTGATGTAAAAGAAAGTTTGGGGCTCTCTGCTGGAACTGCTACCCCCGCGACCCGACCACGGATAAGCGGGAGAAGATGGATGGATGGATGGACAATGTTTGGTTGTCTGGGAAAGAATAGAGTTTGTGTGAAATCTTCCTTGGGAAATTAAAGGAGTGAACTCAGCTGCAAGAAGGAAGTGAAGTGACTCTCCGCCCCAAATATGTCCATATATACTGTTGTTTATTCATGCAAAATGCCCCCTGTTTCTGACTGGCTGGTCCCGATATCTGTATCGCACGGCAGTAGAGCGGGGAGCCCGGAGTGCTCTGTTTCAGGGCACTCTGTATTTCGTATTGTGTTTTTTACCATTAAAATCAGATTATTGTTATAACTTTTATGCCGGTGTTTTGAACTTCTTTTATTAATCTGACCAGGCTCATCTAACGGACGGCGCGGAGCAGGGCTTTAAGCCACCACTACTGTGTTTGCTTCTACAACTTACATGTGTGCTTTGCTCCCACCATGGTTTTGAAATGATTCCAGCGGTGTGTCACGCCTCTTTTATACCCACCGTTCCCGGAAATGCATCCGCGAAGGAGCCGTGGAGGACCCATCAGTGTCTCCTCGGTTAGAGTTCCTCCAGGTCACTGTCCGCCAAAACCGCCTGCTTCAAAAACAGCTTTTTCCCCTTTGCAATACGGACACTAAATGGACTCTAAATAACCCCAATGAACAATAACAATCCACCACACCTTGAACTTTATGTTATGATATGTCTTTGCCCTGTATTGTCTGTTTATTGTATGTTGAATTCAACCTGATCTCACCAGAATGCGTGACTCCACCACGCAACCTTAACACCGCATTGCGTGGTGGAGTCACGCATTCTGTTACATTTGCGTGTCGGCACCACGCAAAAAACCCCAATGTAAAGTGAATGAGGCTCTTTTGTCGTGGTGCACACACGCATTTCTACGACGTCTTGCAGTGAGCTTTTATTCTATAAAACGTTTTTAAAATCTACTTTATAGCTTGTAGTAACTCACGTGAGGCTTCTTTTATTTGATTTGTATTCATAATAATTTTTATTTTCGTCAGAATGTATTATGGTGCATTATTTATCAATTTCTGTTCTCAAAAAACAGTGCATTGTGTGTAATACAACTGTGATTTTTATTAAATTACTTAGTTTTTAAGGAAGGCCAGAGCTTCAGCTGTGTCAAATAGATTGTTCCCTTTAGTTTACGTTATTTAAAAGACAATTATATTCCTATTTGATCAATAAAGGGGTATTGTAGGCCAATATTAGTCATTTAAAACATATACAATGATGATAATGATGGTGAAAACCACTCCCCCCACTGGCTACTGACTGTATTTGAAATGCTTTTTGTTTAATAGTAATAATAATCATTTTTATTATAACAACAATAAACCAGAAGAAGATTCCGTAGTTACCCCGGCAACGTTACGTCGCGCTTTACGTTAACGTGACGTAGCCACATTACCCACAATCACCTCACTTTCATTAATTTCATCCGATTTAATCTGACAACGGACAACAGTAAGTATCTCAAATCAAGGGGAGTTTATTTCTTTAAAACACGAAATAATATTGCTTGTATTTATTCCACTGTAGCACAGTCTCTATAGCGTTTCATTCCTGGATATTAGTTTGAGTTTTGTAGTGTGTTTAGCTTTTACAATAGGCCAACTAGCGGCCACGTTCAGCTAGCCTCCGGCCTTCCGGTCAACGTTTTGAGCTGGATAGCATTTATAGTTTATACAGCTAAATTACATTAGCTGTCACCGGCACAGTTGGATAGTGGAGGTGCGTGCTATAAAAATATGTTTACATTTATGTATTTGCACATGTGTTGTAAAGACAGTGTTCAACACAGTTTTAATAGTGGCTAATGCATCGGCTATGGAGTGGAACAAAAATGTGGAACTGGAGTTTTTCCAGAGGATTTGACTGGCCACCCAATGTCCCACTCTGAATCAGAAATACTTCATTGATCTCCGGGGGAAATTGGGATTGTTACATTGTAGAATTTAAATATATAGTAGAAGATATAAGAAAAACAAGTGCATAATATAACAATATGCACAGTATAAATGCATAATGTATGCCAGAGTATTCCTCAGATGAATTATTATTGCATATAGAGTAATGCACAGATTAATTATTATTGCATAGAGTATTACACAGATGTTACTGTTATTGGAAATAATCCTAATCATGTTTTTCTTTTTTTCTGTTTTACAGCTTCATTACAACACTTAATATCACCAACACACACATATCCACACACACACACACATATAAAACCAACGGCACTTTTAAGAGCCACTCTTTCTCTCACTGTCTCTCTTTCTATCACTCTCTCACTTTCTCTTTTAATCACTCTCTCACTTTCTCTGTTAATCACTCTCCTGTCTTTCTCTCACTCTTCATTTTGTGTATTGTTTGTATTATTTGTATGCCATGTCCCTCAACCCTGAAGTGAGGGTCTTTGAGGATCTCAATGAGGCCACGGTGCACATGGCATCATTGATTAGCGAGGCTCATCTCCTTGAGGCCAGGGTGAGGCTTTTCATGATAAGCAAATACCCAAGTCTGTAATATAATCATTGCTATTGCTTTTTATTGATGTAATGTAAAGGGACAGTTAGTCCTTTTTATGCAACCGTTAAATAATTGCTCAAATATAAGTGCTGCTGTCTTATGTTGTATTACAACTTTGTTGTTGATCTCAACCTCTGAAAAAATATAGACTGCCATGGCCACGGAACCCCCTGCCATCCCTCCGGAAAAGAAAAGAAAAAGCAGGAAGAGACCTCTTTCTAATCCAGTGGTCACACGCAGACGTGAGAGACAACGGGAAACACAACGCCCCGCATCAGGTTAGTTCTTTACTATATCATGATTTCTAAGTCTAAGAATAAAGATAATTCATAACAAAGTTATTTTGGTGTACACAGTATGAAATTATGTAATTTAAAGATACCTCTTGACAAATCTGTTGCAATGTTTAAAACATTTCCAAATGAAATCAAGATATTTTAAGAGCCTGTGATGATAATCCTTGCCTGTGTTGTATTTTTTAAAATGTGTACCTCGATTTGGATAAAAGTATGCCAAATGTAAATTGTCATTGTGATGCTGTGGTAATAAGTTCTTAGTTTCATTACCTACAGTCCTTACAGAGCATTTTCATATTACAATGAATTGGTGTCATTTTAGATTGATTGAAGGGTTAAGCAAAAATGACTGTCTCTGCAGCTTCACAAGCCAGAAGAGACGATCCTGTGCATGAGGAAGGCCTTCAGCTAGAACATCAAGAGTTTAGTAGTCTTGGTGAGTATATTGATTATAACAGCAGTTGACTGGCACTACAGTTTTTCCCAATGTTTCCATTTTTATACTCATCTAGTTAATCATAATAAAGTATTGAGTATTGACTGTTTCATGACAAGTGAATGCATATTTGGTATAAGTATCACTTGCTAATATTGCTTTGGATGCATATGATGATTCATAGCATGTTGCTATTATTAGTCTGCATATATTTTTCCAACTCAAAAGTGGTTCAGTATACTACCTTAATATCCATCATACCAGTTTTAGGGTGGCGGCTTAACAGCTGTTTTATTTTTTAGAAACTCATCTTTAAGAGTTAAGGGACACCCTAACTGCAGTACAGGTTCCGGAGGCAACAGACGGAACGGTTTCTGCCTGGGCACAAAGGCAGCTTCTCACAGATGTGAGAATGAAAACGGCTAGGCCAATGCTTTTTAATGCAAAACTCTCAGCTGAGAGAATAGCCATTCAGAAGTGCCACAGATGCTGTGCAGAAGAAGCGGCTATTAGGTGCCTGGACTATGTTCCACTGGACATGGAGTTCCTCTGTGCAAACTGTGACATGGAGGCCCACAAGAGGAATATCTTCCATGACAGAGAGGCTGTGTTCAATGGATTTCTGGAGCCCATTCCCCCTACAACTGCTGTGGTGGTGGATGAAAATGGCCAGCCTCAGTTTTGTGAACAAAGTATGTAAAGGTTAACATTACATTACAATGTCCCATTATAATGTAGTTCCCAAAATTAAGTGCGAATGGGAAGTGTACATAGCTGATTGAAAAAAGTATGATTGGTTTTGACTAGGGCTGCAAGATATGTGAAAGTTATGCAACATTTTATTGAATATCTTTATAATCTGGAGAATTAAGGAAAAACTGTAAATACACCCTTCCTAATTTATTTTCTATATTGCAGTATGTCAACTGCCCGTTCCTACTCCAAGGTCAATCTGTGAATGCTCTGATGACGTCACAGTGACTCCTTGGAAGCATATTTCTGTGGTCACCATCAACGGTATGTTGTCTGAAAGCCCTTCTTTTTGTACAAGTAGTATTGTACGGCAGAGTTTTACCACTTTGTGCAATGCAAAGATTTGTATCACCTGGTCATTTTCAGACAACACCCAAATGCCATGTCAAATAGCTAATATATCATATATGCACATCTATGTATAAAATCCAATATTTTAAGGCAAACTCACAGTTTAATTACCGAAATACCTTTACTTTTTCCATTTGTTCACAGGACGATACAATGTCTGCTTGCCTCGGAAATCCTGTCCATCCTGCTCTGCAGAATGGACTCCTGAGGTTAAAGACCTGCTTTTGTATCGGTACTGGCCAGCTAGCACCAGCTGCCAGACGCTTTACAAATATGACGTGTTCACCTCATTGGAGCACATGAAGGTGACAGCACCAGCCATGTCCAGGCAGGCATTTCTGAAAATGTTGGAGCACAGATCTGTTCAAGCTGGACGGGTAAATCTGCCTGAATCACACGGAAACATACAAAAAACAATATCATATTACTGTATACCATATCATAAATTGTTGGCATTGCTTTCAAAACAATTACTAATCCACTTTTTTTAAATCAATATACAGACAGGTATTATCTGTGCTGATACATTTCAGCGAAGCTTCTTCGAGTTTAGCTTCTGTCAGTACAAACAAGAGGATATGTGCCAGGTCCATCACTTTGTTTGTCCAGCATGTTCTCCAGACATGTTGGCTGTCTGCTGTGATGGAAACCGCAAGCATTACCGCTTTTCCAAGTCAAAAGGGTATGTATAGGTATTATTGAAAATGATAAAGAACACACCGCTAATACAAATAGTAGCCCTTGGGGTTGTGATTGAGTAGTGTTGGAGTTTTGAGGTTTTTACAACCCCACTCGGCTCCGCGTGTCGTTTTGACGAGTCCTGCTTAAAATCATAACAGGAAGGAAATCAGACAGAGAACACCCAGATACCAGTTTAAACAATCTGTTTTAATTATCAAAGGTAATAATGCAATGCACTATAATACATTACAACACCATATAATACAATATACTAAAATCATATTGTAATGTTTTAAGAAGTAGCCGGCCACTTCTGCCCTGGTTCGCGTGCTGCGGAGATCCTTCCGGTCCTGACAGCATGTGAAGAGAGGCCGAACTCAGGAATCAACAGAATATATACCAGAAGACAGAAGGAAGGGGTGAGGTCAGCTGGTCATCTTTTCAGGTCCTCTCATTGGCAGACGCAAAATATGCTTTGTCACAATGACCCAGCGCTGGCCAGCAGAAAACCAAACGGGCCCATTTTACAACAAAACACATCTTATCACCCAAGTCATGTGTTTCTTTATGAAAGCCATACTTGTTGGGAATATAACAGTCATTATCCCATGACATCCTCAGAACTAGCTCACCAACAAGCCTAACTGTCTTCATACCCCCCCCAATCATCTCTGAACTTTTATTCACCCGAAGTAAGCTCACCCTTAGTCTAAAAGGACCATTGTCTCTCTTAACTGTGTGACTAAATTCTCAAGGCCTGCAGGATGCGCACAATTAACTTAGAACGAATTTAGCCACTATATCTAATGGTTAACCAAGAAAAACACTCAAAAGGGTAATCTTTTCACTCAAAACAGAACTCACAAGTAATTCTGCATTTTACCCCTCAAAAATAGCCTAAAGCACCCTTTTGATGAAAAGGGTATAAGTGAAAGAAAAAGACTATTGCGCTAATCTACTTTAAAGAAAAAGGGAACATTGTTTCAGGAATCTATAAAAAACCTCTATATTTAAGAGGAAAAATGTATTTTGTTCCTTCAACTATTAATACACAGGAATGTATATACCCACACATATATTTAGGGATAACATGATGCAATACACCTCTTATATATTGGTGAGATTAAAATGAATATACCAAAAATATGCTGCATCACATCTTCTGCATAATTCTCTTCATAAACTTCCGCAATTCCCCCTTTTGCACTCTTTTAAAAGAGTGCAATTTACACAAGGCACTTGAAACATATACCCACTGTCATTCTTTTCTACTGTGTCCGTCCCCTAAACATTGTATAAATCCATCCGAAGCTGGTATTTAGAGTACTTGAAACCTTCATGGAGACAGAACACCACTTTCCATGGCAGTGAAGGAACCATGAGGGGGCAGCTGGGTGCTAGTGCAGTCTCCTTGTGTGGTGAATCATCAGCCCCCCCCCCCCTCAGAGGAATACGCCAACAAGGGGCAGCTGATAGGGAGGGGGAGACGCGGCTAGCCCTTCACGGGTGGAACTGATCAGAGAAGTAGACTCCTCTGCTGCCTCGACAAGTCCCCTGTGCCGTCCTGGCTTGCCGTGTCTTTGTCCCCCCGCTCCGCTGACGGAAGCTTCTGGGCTGCCTGCTAGAGAGATGTCTTCCTCCTCCTCCTCCTCCGGCCCGCTGATGGCGGCTTCCGGGTCGATGCTGGAGTGATGTCTTCCCGATTCTCCTTCTCCGGCCCGCTGATGATGCCTCCCGGGTCAACTGCCTTGACGAGGGCCAGGTCTGTCCTGATGTCGTCTAGGGTCCTCGCAGGTGTTTTCCCGACCGCACACTGGCTCCAGTGGTACCAGTTGTCCCCCTTTCCTTCTAGGCGGACGGCATGGGATGTCCTCTGGGTCACTCGGTCGGGGCCGGAGAGCCTGGGGTTGAGCCACTTTGTCCTCGTGCTTCTCGGGTCCCCCTTTTGGCGCCAGCGACCTGTGTGGAGAAATCTGATACAACTCCCTCAAGCCTACGCTCAGCTGTTTTGACCCACTTGGAGCCTGTTGGTGGGGTGTCTTGAAACAACAGCCGTCTGTGAACAGGTTTTCTAAATTAATTGTAGACCTCCTATCTGCCAGTACAGCTTCAGAATCTTAGTACTTGGATTGTGCCAACTAAATAAGAACCCCAACATCTTTAGGTAAACTAAATAACATATTTCAATAGCTCTGAATTTCTGACAAGCATCTGTGTTTATTTTTAAATGAAATCCTTGAGATCCTATTTAAAATCTAAATATAATATGAACTGCTAATGTTTCTGGTAAAGAAACACACTAATGTTATGGATTCAAAAACAACCAAAATCACGATACTAACAAAGTGAATGATTTCCTGGTGATACTGCTTCTACCTGTCAGTGCTTAGATATTATCACGCTGAAAAAATGAATACAGAATTCCAACAAACTGTCATCAAATGTCTTATAAATTTAGATGAAATGTATATCCTCATAATGACCTAAACAATAAAGTCTATGGCTTTTACTTCTTCACCAGGCTAGTTACATGATGTTGTCTAAATTAAATTATGTCTCATTACATTACTATGTTTTAGTTTTAACTGTAATATGTTCTTTCTACATTTCAAACCTCAGTTACTTTTATACCTGTTGAAACATTACTCACAGGTCAACTTCTTCAGTATTCCATTCTGGAATCACATCTCTCACAGTAGCCCCTTGGCCACTGATTCTGCATCTGTGTTACCTGCTATAACTCAACCAATATTAGAAACATGTCAACATTCACCAAACAGTATCTTATCCCCAGATATGGAGCAGGTCAATTCTAAAACCGTCAATCAATGGTCAGATTGAACAATCGAGTTGGGGCAGCCGTACACTCCCCCTTTTTACACATGACTCATGTGTAACCAAAATCCTGTATGGGAAGAAAACCTTCAGGTAATAATGGATTCTAAGAAAATATCAAACATTTTTTCCCAAATGTACATCCATCATTTCCACAGTAAACACTCCAGTGAAATGAAGTGTTCCTCTCCATCCTTCAGTCCTAAAAGAAACAGAATCTTCATGTTTTAGTTTGAGTTCCACATTCTGCAAACTGCCACCTCCTGTGGGAGTGCACAAGTGCGGTTTTCCAATTCTGTGGAATGTTATTGAGGCCCAGAAAAATGTGTTAGTCCAAAAACATGCTTGATTAGTCATTGTTTTAAATCATGCAGTTGCACTGATCACATGCAGACATACACTCACATTCACACTCACACTGTCAGGTTGTAAAGTCAAGTTTGGTCAGGTTCACCCCAGAGTCAGTCAATCACAGTGCCTTGTCAAGTCACACTGTCGGTCAGGGTCAAAGGTCAGTTGGTCTCAGTCTTTTTTGGCCATGTGTCGTGCTCTGCAGAGACTTTGACATTTCAGCATAGGCCAGTATCCTTTGTCTACACAAATATGTATATATGGAGCGCCATCATTTATTAATTCACAATTACAACTATAATGTTCAAGATATCTCTAACTTTTCATTGAGACAGCTGCTTCCCACATTCCCCGAAAAGTGTTTAGCCAAAAAATGTCACTTCCTTATTGTACTACTACTGCAGTTTATCAACACCTAATCTATATTCAAATGTCTAATAGATCTATTTCAGAAACTTCTGCACATAATTATTATCTTGAGTCAAACCATTACTAGGATCTGTAAAGCTCTGCTATGTATTTCATAACTCATATTCATTTATCTTCAAATCTGGTCCACTTAAAAACAATGTTAACCTCTTTAACAGTGCGTGGAACCTTGGGTGTCCGAATATGTAACAATCACTCCTTCCTTTATCAAGGATTCTAAAAACAGAAGTCATTTCATCAATGGTTTGTAGCTAAATTTAGGAATTATCACTTATGGTAGGTATGTTTTTACTCTTTAACATCTCTAAATGTCAGTTAATTACTAACTAAATTAATGTCCATTAGGAGGTGGTGACGCTAGTCTTCCAAACTCATAATCTGGTGCCGTGCGCTTCCTGTGAAGCTGCATAAGATTTTAAAAACCACTGCAGGGTGGGTCGAGTGACCCCTCCTCCCTATTAGTCGTCAATAATATGCACCATTACAATGGGTGATTGAAGGCCTCACATTATGTCCAATTACAGCATCAGTCTTCTTTACTCTAAAATTACTTTTTAAATAGGAATATTTAGAAATGGAACAAATATTCAATCTTCAGAAAAGTTCTTAACCAATGTCTATCTAGTGAATAGCCAACATATTTGAAAATGTCAGATGTATAAAAATAAGCCTAAATACTCCCTTACCATCAAAGTCCAAATCTAGACATAAGGTGAACAGTTTTGGTAATGGACAACTTAACCTAAAAACAAAACAAAATTGGACTTGTGTCCTTGTTATTTGTTCTTCAAAATACATTAGCAAATACCTTGTGAAGTATTCGCAACATAACTAACCCTCTAGGACATAAAATCCATTCATCTTTTACTCATAGTTAGTTTATATGTCAAGATTATTTAGGTGTGACCTAATAATCAGATGTGTTGTTTGCTAAACAAGGATATTAACTTTAATCTTTTCAGTATTCCAGACCATCGTTTAAACAATCAGCCTCCCTTCTCAAACACTAAACCTATTGTTGTACACCACCCTCTGGAAAACTGTTGCACAGTTATGCTGTAAAATCATCGCATAATTTCTTCAGAGTCTGAACAATCTGAGACAAGCCTGTCTCAGAACTTGTCATAATGTGAACAGTCAGTGATGTGTTGTCTTCTGCAGCTGTAGTGAATTGGATCAATGAAACTCTTGTTTTGCACTGGGATGTCCTGAGGGGGAAGGAACCTCTGGATCAATGTGGTACAATCAGCAGACACACGTTGTCCTCTGCACAGCAGGAATCCCCAAAAACTGCAGTTCCTCTTCACACCACTGTTGCCTCGGCAACAAGGCCCAAGCAAAATGTCAAACCCTCCTCAGAGATGCGTTCTTTGCACAGTTCTTCTGTTTCTGTAGTGAGCAACTCTTCACCAACACACTGATTCAGAGTACAACCCAAAGGTGGCGTACATCTATCCAGTGCTGCTATAATCACAGCAAATCAGCAACTGGAGAAAAACTCAATTTAAATCTCTCCCCCAAAGGGTTACAAAATAAAACGGCTGAATGTCTATATGGTCAGGAATGCTGAAACATGTGAATGTTAAAACAAACCAATGGCAGTAGTCTACCCAGATTATTTACTCCATTAAAAGTAGTAAAACCACATCGTAAAATATCTTGTCTAGTTGAAGTCCTGCTTCTAAAATTCTAGTCAGAAAAAAATAAAATAAACTTCATCTTTAAAATCTTTTTTTAATTTGAAACCAAAAAAGGTCTTCCTTCTCCACCATGATCCTATCTTTACCTCAAAGTCCAAACAAACTGATGATTTATCTTTAAAAACCATGAGGAATGACAGTTCTCATAAAACACTATTCTTCCTTACTTGACTTCCAAATCAAATGAGCCAAACAGGAAAACCTCCTTAACCACTTGCTTATTCTGTTATTTTTCAAATTGTTTATCTAACTTGTGTTACAAGCAGGTTAGATTTGTAACAGAATACAAAACTAACTGTATTTAGCGCTATATTTGAAAAACAAGTAATCTGATTACAGTTACTGAATATATATTTTGAACAGTTATTATTGGTGGAAAAGTTTCCTCACAAAATGTAATCTCCATTACTAAAGCTAAAACCTAAAGAAATCATCGCGGAACAGTTTTCTGTCCTTACCACTTAATTGTTTCAATACAAACTAAAAAGCGTTGTGAAAACTCCCACTCTTGAGAACATCTCAACACTTTATTCCATCTGAGCACGAATGTTTATGACAGACACGCCCTATTAATCCAAAACGGCCTTTAATGGTATCAATTGTGAACTTTCTTAATATGAATTGTAAATGCAACGTATGTTCTCTTTGGAACACAGATAGGACAGTAGCTGCTGAAACTGGTTGATAGCAGCTTTCTGTTAACCTAGATAAGCATGTTGTTCTTATATTTTTACTTCATGTTTACTCACAAAACAATATAACATTCTTCAGACTAGTAGTTAACTTTATATAAGTTGTACTCTCTCTGAACTCTTCAAAACATCTACTTCTCTTGTCTCTCTCTCTCTGTGCCCTGCAGCTGCTCCTGCACAAGCTTCTCTCATCAATCACCTCTCTGTGTTTAGCCAACAGTGTGCTTTTAGCCTCGTGCAGCACCTCTGTCATGTTTAAACATGAACAGATCCCTCCTGTTTACTTACTCTTTCTTCATAAACACAATTAATGTCTACTAATGATATTACAAAAACTACCTAATGACAAAATAGCACAAAATTCACAATGCAATGCAATAGTAACAATCAGTTCTCAAAACTTCTCATGAAAACCACAATGTGACGTAACTGCATCCCACAAAAACTATGCTAAAAACGACAAATTATAGTTTCTTATTTATTTAAATATCTACGACACATTGATCTATTAATTTTCAATGTTATTCACTCCAACTTCAGACCAGTCGTTGATTATTCACTCCTTGTTTTAAATTCAACGCTCAGCAGCCATTTTTGAGGCATTTTGAGAAGAAGCACAAGCAGTCACACTTCTGGCTGCTGCTTCAGCAATTAGAGGAAAGCTGTGAAGAAAAAGGGGGGCTTTCTTTAACCCATGGTGACCACGCATTTCTTTATCTGACTTTTCTCCCTTATCTATTAGTAATTATTCACAGAAAATTATTCCCCGTACAGTCTATCCAGCTTTATGGTGCGATGTTTATTTCAACAGATAACATAATCTCTTTATCGTCACCTTTGGCTAGATAGATTAACCCCACAGAACAAGAGAACGAGCTTCCGGTCCTTTCAAAATGGTTATTTGAAATTTGCGTAACTCTTCTTGGATTCACTTATAATGCAACTGCAGCTCCTATGAGACTGGAAAGCATTATTCAATTTAGTTCTGGATGGAATCATTAGAAACCACTGAACGCCCCCGATGAGTTAGCCGTGTCGAGTTATGAAAAAAACGCACGGGGCCTTTCACCTTCTTCTTACAGTCCTCATCGCTTCACATGGAGCTAACGAGTTAGTCGTGCGATTCTGAAAAATCCACGAGGTTCCTAACCGTTGCTTTATTAATCTTATTATTCTTAGTTAGTTACCTACCTATGCTAAAATATGCATTGCATTATCTTTAGCGTGAAGACTAGACACTGAGAAATATTCCTGACAACTCTAAAAAATTTGAATATAGCCAAATCACAGATTTTGAGTGTAACGGGTATCCGTGCTTACCTGATATTTTGTATAGAGCTCTGTTTTTAGTTGTCAGAAAGTATTTCGAGGTGTCACCCCTGGACAGCTTAGTCCGCTGGCTGCTGATGTGACTCCCGCTGAACGCCCACTCGTAAACGTCTGGGTCACCACTTTGTTGGAGTTTTGAGGTTTTTACAACCCCACTCGGCTCCGCGTGTCGTTTTGACGAGTCCTGCTTAAAATCATAACAGGAAGGAAATCAGACAGAGAACACCCAGATACCAGTTTAAACAATCTGTTTTAATTATCAAAGGTAATAATGCAATGCACTATAATACATTACAACACCATATAATACAATATACTAAAATCATATTGTAATGTTTTAAGAAGTAGCCGGCCACTTCTGCCCTGGTTCGCGTGCTGCGGAGATCCTTCCGGTCCTGACAGCATGTGAAGAGAGGCCGAACTCAGGAATCAACAGAATATATACCAGAAGACAGAAGGAAGGGGTGAGGTCAGCTGGTCATCTTTTCAGGGTCCTCTCATTGGCAGACGCAAAATATGCTTTGTCACAATGACCCAGCGCTGGCCAGCAGAAAACCAAACGGGGCCCATTTTACAACAAAACACATCTTATCACCCAAGTCATGTGTTTCTTTATGAAAGCCATACTTGTTGGGAATATAACAGTCATTATCCCATGACATCCTCAGAACTAGCTCACCAACAAGCCTAACTGTCTTCATACCCCCCCCCAATCATCTCTGAACTTTTATTCACCCGAAGTAAGCTCACCCTTAGTCTAAAAGGACCATTGTCTCTCTTAACTGTGTGACTAAATTCTCAAGGCCTGCAGGATGCGCACAATTAACTTAGAACGAATTTAGCCACTATATCTAATGGTTAACCAAGAAAAACACTCAAAAGGGTAATCTTTTCACTCAAAACAGAACTCACAAGTAATTCTGCATTATTACCCCCTCAAAAATAGCCTAAAGCACCCTTTTGATGAAAGGGTAAAAGTGAAAGAAAAAGACTATTGCGCTAATCTACTTTAAAGAAAAAGGGAACATTGTTTCAGGAATCTATAAAAAACCTCTCTATATTTAAGAGGAAAAATGTATTTTGTTCCTTCAACTATTAATACACAGGAATGTATATACCCACACATATATTTAGGGATAACATGATGCAATACACCTCTTATATATTGGTGAGATTAAAATGAATATACCAAAAATATGCTGCATCACATCTTCTGCATAATTCTCTTCATAAACTTCCGCAGTAGCCATAACAGACATTAAAACAAATCATAGTAATGTAGTGCTTTGTGATTTTTATTATTGACTTGTATGTTAACTTATCATGGACAGGACTGAGGAGCCGCCAATCTATGAGGGCTTGTTCCTGGCCAAGGATGAGGAAGTCGCAACATTTGTTGACCTTGTCAGAGGCAACATGAAAAGTGTACGTTTTTTTTCTTATTATGATAGTTGCAGTTACACCTGTGGTGTTCTTTTTTATATATGTCAAAACTTGTGTGTAATAAACTGACTTTATAGGGAAATGACAGTGCCGTCTGTGGTACTGCCAAATTCACCGCTGGCAGAGAGATGTCAAAAAAGTCTGGTGCCCAGATAGACGAGGAGGGCATTCAAGTGGCAGTTTGCAGGTATGTATTTGTAAGTGTGTCTGTGTGTGTATATGTGTTTGGTTCTTGAGTCTGGTCTCATTATTTCAGTTTTAATAGCAATCCAAGTCTAAGTCTTTGTAAGAATTGGAAGCATTAAACACTTTTGATTGTGGAGCGGAATTGATCCATCCTTTGTAGCATCCAAGTGATATTTGTTGTTATAGCCACCTAGATGACAGAGTGCTTAAGCCAGGCCTTGCTGTGTCAGTTTATTATTAACAACTAGATTTTCTTCTGATTAATCAGACATGGGTTTCTCTTACGAGGACTGAACCACTTCCGTGGAGAAATATACGCGTACGCAATGTTTCTCCAAAAAGAGATGTCCAAGAAGGCAAATGTTGACTTCTTCTGTATGGATGTAACATGCAGGTAATCCTCACTGTCATATTGCACATCCACAACAATGTTTAAAATGGCCTATGCCTCAGCAGTCATTTTAGATGATATTGATATTGTTGTCATGTCAATTAAAAGTTTATCTTTGTAACACTCAATCACAAAATGCTGCTCCTGCTTCTTAGGTACTGGCCATACCTTAATAAAATAGCCGAGGGATTACCAGAGCTTCTGCCGTTGACAGAAATGAGGCCATTTCTTAGCGTGATGCATGCTAAAGCCCATACAGCAAAATGCGAGGTACATAACATCTTTAATGCAAAGGATTTTTAATGTTGTGCATGGCATGCCTTATTGGATATCAAAAACTTTGCTATATAACACTATTTGCGCTGTGTTGCAGGTGAGATGGGGTGGCAGAAGTCAGGACGGGGCAGGAAACACAGTGGGAGAGGAAGTAGAGCAGGTATGTTATTAATGGCATTATTATAACTGTATGGATACAAGAGGTCTTAATAGAAAGCAGTACAAATATGTATGTGTCATCTCAGTGACAAGCCTGTTGATTAGTTTAAAGCATATCCTTTATGTCTGAGTTCAAATGAAAGATAGGCAGCTCATATGTTCAGCAACAATACATGCATGCACATTGTAGGAAGTCAGTACACAAGTTTTCTCTTAAACCATCCAGTTCAAGATCTATGATGTGTAGGTAATATTGTTATGTAATGGTGACCGAACATTAATTGTAACATTCATTATAGGTGAACAGCTTTCTCTCCAGGGCAGCTCTGGTCACAAAATACATGACAAAATCAGGTTGGTATTAACACTACACACTGTGATAAGGCAGCCCTGATAAGTATTTTACAGAGAGTTCCCTCCGTAAAAACATTATTGGTGTATTACCAGTTCAACAACCTTTTAACGATTGGGTTTAGTCATGTCCATCAGGTTTCTCACTCAGTATTGCCTTTTTGATGTGAATACTTACTTTTTTGTTTGTGGATATATTTTTGTGTTTTTTAGAAAGAGTGAACATGCTTACTCAACAGGCCATGGGATGGAACAGAAGGAAGAGGGACAACCTTCATCAAGTTTTAGCACACAGATATGTCAAAGTAAGGGCAAATTACAATTGTCTTCTCATCTGACATTACATATGAAGGATGTCTGCAATGTAACCTCATGGCTATATACATTATGTTCTCCCTTATCCACACTTCCTCTTGCAAGTCAGATGGTGTCATGGAATGTTTCAACTGTTCTTCTGAAGGTCTTGTACTGAAAACTGGTGTTCTTTGCATTATGGTGTTGCATGGCGCTTTTGCTCTGACATTTTCTTTTTTTTGTAAAGATCACAGATTCATTACAACTTGCTCATTGGAAAATATGGAAAACGGGTTAATCGTGTTAACAAAGGTAAAAAGGCACAGTAGCTGAAAATGCCAAAATGTTGTGGAACAATCCTATAAAACCTCTAATTATAAGTACACATTCATCCATCCTTAGTGTAATAATTGTAAAACCCAAAGGTGATGTTTCCTCAGACTATTATCATAGCATCAAAATGTAAAATCATTGCATCCCTAGAGCCTTACAGCACAACATTTCAAGTGAATAATAACTCCTCCAACAGGCACATTGTATTCTAAGATAAGGGATCAAATAGCATTTGATAGATAACAAACAGTCTATAGATCCCCTTGGGGAAATTATATCATGATGCGTTTGTTACGTTACAATTTTATCTGCCCAATAATAGGGTACCGATATATTTCTCTTTGTTGTAGTTTACGGTTTCACCACTTGATTGTCATCACTGTTGTTAATTTGCACTATCTGTAGATGAATGTCTAATCATAATTCTTTGACCTAGTTCCTTTACATTTCTGTTGTTGTTTGGTGATTATTTACTAATACTTTAGTAAGTGTGGACTTAACGCCAGAGTAGCTAACGTGAACCTGGTGTCTCTGTGGTGTAATCAAATATTGACACAGCTTTAATTAAATAAACGACCTAGTTTCAATGTATCGTTTAGTGTGGACTTTGCACATTTAAAATAACTTGTGTATAGCTGGTGCTACAGACAGCAGAACTTTTTGCATTTTTCTTTAACAAATGCCACCTAAGATAATGGCATGCCAACAATTACCACAAATGTACACATAGATGTAATTGTACAAAAGCCAATTAACATACCAAATGGTGCAGGGCTCCCAGTCATAAAGGTGCTCCGTCCCCCCTGTGGTAGGCAGACAAAGACATTGTACATCTGTATGTTATTTGAACGTTGTACTTTCACAAGTACTTATAATATATGTATTGTTCAAATAGTTTGCATATATTTAAAAAAATAGTCATGAAAAAAGACATCTGACCGACTAGAGGGATTTACAGGATGTTTACACAAATAGCTTAATATTGTGAATTGGACAACAGCATTCCTTCAAGGTAAGATAAAGTCATTGCTATACAAATTCAGAAAAGTTATCCAACAGCAAACACTGTCATCCAGGTAATCATTATCCTACCTTTCGGTTCCTTGTCTTTATTATGTTGCGCACAGGGAACACCTCCAGATGGTTGTGAGAGCAATCTGTAATTGTATGGAATACATTATTTGCACAAATATGCAGAACAGGTAAAGTACGTTTTGTATTGGGCTCATCTCAGAATGCACAAACATTTCCACTGTGTGACATAAGCACATTTAGTGTTTCCTCCTGAGCAATCACAGAAGTTTAAGAGTCTACACATGCTTTTATTCTAAATCTTAGCTTATCTGCCATTCCTTCGGGATGTTGCTGTGTCTGCTAATGGACTGATTACATCTTACATTGCTTGCTACTGAGTGGATATGTTTTAGTCTTATATTCATTACACTAGTACTTGGGGTCTGTAGCACTATATTACATTAAGCAAGGATGTGCAAGCTTTCTATTCAATTATAAAGTATAAGGGTGGGTGCTGGGAGCCTGGTTTGGTGGTGGGTGGGTGCTGGGAGCCTGGTTTGGTGGTGGGTGGGTGCTGGGAGCCTGGTTTGGTGGTGGGTGGGTGCTGGGAGCCTGGTTTGGTGGTGGGTGGGTGCTGGGAGCCTGGTTTGGTGGGTGCTGGGAGCCTGGTTTGGTGGTGGGTGGGTGCTGGGAGCCTGGTTGTGGTGGTGGGTTGGTTGGTGGTGTGGTGCTGGGAGCCTGGTTTGGTGGTGGGTGGTGCTGGGAGCCTGGTTTGGTGGTGGGTGGGTGCTGGGAGCCTGGTTTGGTGGTGGGTGGGTGCTGGGAGCCTGGTTTGGTGGTGGGTGGGTGCTGGGAGCCTGGTTTGGTGGTGGGTGTGTGCTGGGAGCCTGGTTTGGTGGTGGGTGGGTGCTGGAGCCTGGTTTGGTGGTGGGTGGGTGCTGGGAGCCTGGTTTGGTGGTGGATCTGCTGTTTCCTGTGGTTGCTGGTGATGGGTGATGGATCACATGGCACCAAATTTAAGATGTAGCTTCCATCGGGCAGTTGGTTGGGTGGGTCTTGGGGTGGTGTTGGTGTGTCAGGGTGCTCCTCTTGGTCTGGGTTGAGTCGTGTCCAACCTACAAAGAGTTTGTTGTACAAATCTGTTTAAAAGCCCACATATTTATTTATTTATTATGTATAATACCATAAATGTTGCATTGGTTAGTTATCTGTTCATATATAATATATTTATATACATATCCACATCTGTTTATACAACCTTTTCATTCATGCCTCCCCATATTAGTATTTCATTTTACTTTCTGTTTTATCTTATTCTATTTTATATGTATATATTTGACTTATTCCTGCATGTAAGTTTTGCACCTACGTTGTTGGACTAGTTTCTTCTTGCACTATTTTATTTCTTCTTGTACTATTTGTATGCTGCATTGTTGGAGGAGCCTGGGAGTTAAGATTGTCATTGCCAACAACTACGCTGTAGCTGTGCATATGACAATAACACCTTTGAACATTGAATGTTCGAAAACAGGAACTTGGAATACACACACATACATTATCAATGTGAAAAACATGCAAACAAAGGCAACCCTAACCTAAACTGTAAAAAAAAAAGATTGATTGAGTATGATGTCACCCACAGGTATCTGCTTGGCATCAGGGCAGAGGAGCCAGAGAAGCTGAGGGTTGTCCACAGAGCCACTGCTCAGCGCAATTTATTTGAAGAAGATACCATTTTTTCTGACTATGTGACTGTGACTCTGATTGTGGTGGAGGAGGTCCCAGAACACTTGTCCCCTCTTAATTCTTACATTCAGGGCGTCCTAGCAGTGCCAGTGGTCCACCATGCAGCATTACGAGTATCATACAGTAATTCAATGTTTACAGCAATCAATGATCGCAAAAGTCAATGGTATCCCCCACACTGGGTTATCATTGGAAAATGGAAGTTTGATAAGTGAACAAAATGTATTTATTTAATTTTTGGCCAGCAATATAATTAGGACTCATATGTGAGATTGTGCGAGAGCTGTCACTGGCTTTACTTCTAGACTTTGCTATCCAAATGTGTAGGTGGGAAAGATGTGCTGGGTGAGGTCACTTGAGAAGACGTGTGTGGGGGCCGCAGTGTCTTCAGCGCGCTCTTTGTGCACCACAGAACGCTTTGGAGACACAGTCTGGTACTTGCATCTGTTCTGCTATTGTTTACTGCTATTTCATGTTATCTTGGATTGTTGTCATCAGCTGTGGTGCGCTCCACAACTGACCATGAGTGTCAGTACTATACTGTTTCAACCATCTCCTCTGCGCTCCGATGGGGAATGTGATGGCGAGACAGTGCTGATGAAATACAAAGTGGATTTGATTTGAGATTTGAGTTGGCTTACTTCTTTTACAATTGAAAGATGCTTATGGAATTAGTTATGGCTCACAAGCATATGCACAAATAACACTGATGGTTTGAATGTAGGATCTTTAAGAAACGTGTGATAGTAACTGAAATTAAATATGAGAGAGGCTTTATTATATGTATAATGATGCTTATAACATGTATTTCTACAATCTGGCTTCAATCCACCACCTCACCATCTGCATAGACAGTTTCCCCTGTCACCATAATCTTCTGTAAACATTTTTCAAAATATATATTACAACTTTTGCATGGGAAGTGGCATACACCTCTTTCAAGCCCTGTTTTGTGCATACATAACAGTTAGAAATGAGACCCCAGCTTTTTAAAATGACTCTTTGTTGCTTTGAAATAAACAGGACGAATCAACACATTGTATAACAGATAGTCAATATATGCATGAGTGACTCGCGCAGATGGTTATTAAATAAATGCAATCTCACCTGCAACCATCAGCTTGTAGATGGCCTCCACATTGTCGAGGCATGTCTTGGCTGATGTGCTAAGCTGGGCATGCATGGGCATCAAAACCTTTGTTTTAGATATCCGTGGCACCCGCTTGGTAGGGGGATACGCCAGCAGCAGCAGGGGCTTCAAGCCAAGGGCATGTCACTTTTCCAGCTGGGAAAATAATTGTTGAGAGGTAGAGAGATTAATTAGATAAATACACAAAACTGTTGTTTACATTTGAATTTATCTGCAAGCTTGCCCTGAAGTAGCATCAAAATAAATCATCTACACTAATATCCTGGCATCATAATAAAAACAATGATTTGTTCATAATGTTTTGTTGGATACATTTGGGATTTTTAACTTATGAGACACTTCCTAAACTTCCTACACATAATAGTTAATTCTGTTTGAAAATCATTAATCATGAATTATATTCTCATTAATGATACAATTAATAATGTGGATGTGAAGCAATACCAGTTAATTTATAATCCTCTGTCAAAGTAATAAAACTACTTTTCACACTTTTGGTGAATGAGATAATTCTGTAAACTACATACCAGAAGGGCGGCGTCATCAATAACGTGGGACTTGATTCTGTTTTTAGTCATGGATGACAACCACTGCTTCTGCTGGCTTTGGAATTTGTCCATTTTCTTTTTGAGTCTCACATTTTTTGGCTGTGGATGTTCACATAGTGGGCAGATTTTATTTCCACAGTACATTTGTTCACTACAGTTTGGGCAGGTCTTTTTTTGTGACCCTCCAGCCATTTGTAGGAGTGAGAGAAAGACAGGAGAGTGATTAACAGAGAAAGTGAGAGAGTGATTAACAGAGAAAGTGAGAGAGTGATTAACAGAGAAAGTGAGAGAGTGATTAAAAGAGAAAGTGAGAGAGTGATAGAAAGAGAGACAGTGAGAGAAAGAGTGGCTCTTAAAAGTGCCGTTGGTTTTATATGTGTGTGTGTGTGTGGATATGTGTGTGTTGGTGATATTAAGTGTTGTAATGAAGCTGTAAAACAGAAAAAAAGAAAAACATGATTAGGATTATTTCCAATAACAGTAACATCTGTGTAATACTCTATGCAATAATAATTAATCTGTGCATTACTCTATATGCAATAATAATTCATCTGAGCAATACTCTGGCATACATTATGCATTTATACTGTGCATATTGTTATATTATGCACTTGTTTTTCTTATATCTTCTACTATATATTTAAATTCTACAATGTAACAATCCCAATTTCCCCCGGAGATCAATGAAGTATTTCTGATTCAGAGTGGGACATTGGGTGGCCAGTCAAATCCTCTGGAAAAACTCCAGTTCCACATTTTTGTTCCACTCCATAGCCGATGCATTAGCCACTATTAAAACTGTGTTGAACACTGTCTTTACAACACATGTGCAAATACATAAATGTAAACATTTTTATAGCACGCACCTCCACTATCCAACTGTGCCGGTGACAGCTAATGTCATTTAGCTGTATAAACTATAAATGCTATCCAGCTCAAAACGTTGACCGGAAGGCCGGAGGCTAGCTGAACGTGGCCGCTAGTTGGCCTATTGTGAAAGCTAAACACACTACAAAACTCCAACTAATATCCAGGAATGAAACGCTATAGAGACTGTGCTACAGTGGAATAAATAAAAGCAATATTATTTCGTGTTTTAAAGAAATAAACTCCCCTTGATTTGAGATACTTACTGTTGTCCGTTGTCAGATTAAATCGGATGAAATTAATGAAAGTGAGGTGATTGTGGGTAATGTGGCTACGTCACGTTAACGTAAAGCGCGACGTAACGTTGCCGGGGTAACTACGGAATCTTCTTCTGGTTTATTGTTGTTATAATAAAAATGATTATTATTACTATTAAACAAAAAGCATTTCAAATACAGTCAGTAGCCAGTGGGGGGAGTGGTTTTCACCATCATTATCATCATTGTATATGTTTTAAATGACTAATATTGGCCTACAATACCCCTTTATTGATCAAATAGGAATATAATTGTCTTTTAAATAACGTAAACTAAAGGGAACAATCTATTTGACACAGCTGAAGCTCTGGCCTTCCTTAAAAACTAAGTAATTTAATAAAAATCACAGTTGTATTACACACAATGCACTGTTTTTTTGAGAACAGAAATTGATAAATAATGCACCATAATACATTCTGACGAAAAATAAAAATTATTATGAATACAAATCAAATAAAAGAAGCCTCCCGTGAGTTACTACAAGCTATAAAGTAGATTTTAAAAACGTTTTATAGAATAAAAGCTCACTGCGGGACGTTGTAGAAATGCGTGTGTGCACCACGACAAAAGAGCCTCATTCACTTTACATTGGGGTTTTTTGCGTGGTGCCGACACGCAAATGTAACAGAATGCGTGACTCCACCACGCAATGCGGTGTTAAGGTTGCGTGGTGGAGTCACGCATTCTGGTGAGATCAGGTTGGTTGAATTGTATGGAACAAGCTGTAATACTCTGCACTGAACACGAATTCCACCTGCCTGGCTGTGTGGTCATTAAAGATTCTAATCTAATCTAATCCTCTCTCCTCTCTCCTCGGTTAGAGCTCCTCCAGAGAGCCTCCTCTCTCCTCTCCCCTCGGTTAGAGCTCCTCCAGAGAGCCTCCTCTCTCCTCTCTCCTCGGTTAGAGCTCCTCCAGAGAGCCTCCTCTCTCCTCTCTCCTCGGTTAGAGCTCCTCCAGAGAGCCTCCTCGACACTCGATCCTCGAAGTGCATTTAGAGAAATGAGATGTCCTTCAACATGGCGCACTAAAATGTATTTCCGGGTCACTACCGGAGGACCGAGGGGGAGTTGATGAAATGAGAAAGGGCCCTGGTGTGGGTATTTGAGGACAAAGAGGAGGAAGTCCTCATCCAGGCATCTATTTATAGCCTGTGAGGAACTTCTACCTGCTTCCCTACACAGTGCCTCTTGTGGACAGGAGGGTTACACACATGCAATTTCTAACAGCCGCAGTAAGTGATGAAAGTGGGGGATGTTGGCTTATCAGGCGCCCGCAGCTCACAGCCAAAGTGCGAGCGAGAGAGAGGGCGAGGGAGAGAGAGAGAGAGAGAGAGAGAGAGAGGGCGTACCGGTACCGCTGTTGTTATTAGCATCTGGTGCTAGCTGCGCTAACGGATATACCAGGGTGGAGGAGAGCTCTCCTGTCAGACTGAGAGGCTCAGTGAGGTTTTTGTCTTTAGTAGAGATTTTTCATTTAATCTTTATATATAAAATCTCGCCTAGGGCAGCAAATTGTCTGGAACCGGCCCTGGTACTAGGCCTCAAGAGCCTTTCTTGTGCTGGCAGACACATAGAAACAAATTGGCAGGGCGCACTTCGCACAAACTAAAAAATTCCACGCGCTCCGCGCTCACATTATGCTGGGCCCACGTGCCTTAGCACCGCTGCTATGACTCCATCCTGGGGGAAACACTGGGCCCTGACTCCATTTCAGCCCGGATTCAAACTCCTGGCAGGACAAGCTCCAGCTCAACTCTCTCACTGAACAGAACAAAGTGAGAGAGGGACTGCAATATAAGAGGGACAGAAAGAGAACCTTTAAAACTGTTCAATTGTTATGATGTAAAGACTGATATTGTTCTATAATCGTCTGAAACTGTTAAGTCATGATGTGAAACGGTTAACAAAGAAAAAGGGAAACTCAAGCTGCTGCTACACTTTATTTTATTTATATAAAATTAAAGGTCACATGTCATGGCCATTTCCACTGATCATAATTCCATTGTTGAGGTCTACTAGAATAGATTTATACTGTGCAATTTTCCAAACTCACATTGGTTTCGCATACAGCATCTCTGTAACGTATGTGTATTCAGCAGTATTCACTCTCTCCACTAAACGGCTCGTTGCAGCTCTTGCCCCCCCCCCCCCTCCCTGTGAGCCCAGTGTGCTCCGATTGGTCGGGAGCAGTCGGGACGTTGTGAATCGCGCTGAGCTCCGTGGAGGTGTGATTTCCTTGTTTAGCGATACACAGCCAAACTCACCCTGAGCACACACAAAGTCACAGCCGAAGTAAAAACAATAAGTGTGGCTTGATATTGAGTAAGAAAAAGGTTGATAAACGCTGTGAGAATGGGTCTGCAGAGAGAATGGGTCTGCAGAGCTTTCTTGATGCAAACACCACAAGATGTGGAAGCTAGTCACAACCAGTGTTGTGCTAGTTACTGAAAACCAGTAACTAGTTACCATTACTAGTTACTTCATTTCAAAAGTAACTCAGTTACTTTACTAGTTACTTACACCCAAAAGTAATGCGTTACTGTGAAAAGTAACGTTGGAGTTACTTAAAAAATGACTCCCATTAATGCCCTTATAGCCTTCATTTCAGTACTGTTATTGCATTGGAGAATAATACAATCGGTTGATCAACTTGACATGCATTATATGCAATCTGGATTGCATCGATATTAGCTGGCTTTCCATTTTTGTATATTCTTTCTCCAGGTAGTTGGAACAAGTTTTCCGTCCCATATGCCGTGTGCCGCCCGGACATGCTATCATGCTAACTAGCTCCCTGAAAGCGGGTGACTCCACTGTAGCAATAGCCTGCATGTGTTCTACAACATACCGTGCAATGGCTTTATCGACTTTTCCCTGGATAGCAGTCCCTTGGTTAAAATCCAGCCGCTGTTGCTTAGGTGGAGGTGGAGTGGCGTCGGCTGAGTCTCTGTGGTCTTAGCTACTAGCTTCGTCCCAGCATGTTGTTTTTGCAGATGTTTTAAGATATTTGAATGACTGGTTTGGGCAGTAGATAGGATCTTTGACCCGCCAGGACACAACTTACATTTAACTAAAACGTTCTTTTCTTTGTGCTCGACAAAAGTGAAATAGTGAGAATATCTCCAGGTGGAGAAACTAGACTTGAGCTCCGCCGCCGCCATGATAGTCTTGTCAGTAAACAACACAAACACGCCCACAGCCCGTCTCCGCATGTGACACAGGAAGTATCTAAGTACATTTACTCATCTCTGTTCGCCTGGCTGTTGACTATATAAAAAAAACTAACGCAGTAACGGACCATGTAGTAACGGTAACTGAGTTACTGAATTTAAAAAGTAATGCGTTAGAGTACTAGTTACGGCCAAAAATACGGCCAAAAAGTTACTTGTAACGCGTTAGTCCCAACACTGGTCACAACATACATTCCTTGACAATGTGCGCATAGAAAAATTGCGTCTGCAGTGTATTCACAGTTTTCTGTGTAAAAAGAGATAACCTTCAGCATAAACAGTGACTGCATAAACCTCAGCTTGTTTAAAACCTGCCTTTATATGGTTCATGTTTCCTCCATATGTGAGTGTTGCCATGGAATATCTTTATATCCGTATGAACAAGTGCATGTATGTAGGTGAGTACACGTGGACCATGCATGTGCCAATGTTTCGAGAGATACCTCCGTACAGCGTTTCCGCCAGGGGGGCGTCTTGCCGTCATTTGACGCCCTATTCAGCTCGGGACTCGAGCCGAGGGCGTCCAAAAATATTAATAATTTGAGAGGAGATCGAGAGTTTCTATCGCTTGAAATTACGAAAAGGAAAAAGGACAAGGCCATCCCTCTGTTGGAGGGGCAAAGGAGTCTGGTGGGATTATTTTCGGAGTATTGAAGATCGTTTCCCCCGACATCGAAGGTGCCTGCTACGGGACAACACGGAACGTGTGCGACTTGGACGCGATGAGCGGGGGGGTTTTAGTGGAGCGTGAGCTGCGAGCGCCAGAGCCTCGTAGCGGCGAAACTGAGGCTCCGTGGTAAACTGTGGCAACATGAAGAGCCGTTTGGGAGCCGAAACAGCCGGGGCTTTAAGAGAGCCGAGCCAAATGATCCAGCTCACTAACGTAAAAAGACAGTATCTATAAGGGACGGCTCAAGTCAAAATTCAAGCACCCCCCCCCCCCCCCTTTTGATTAAATGTTCCTTTTTTAATACAACAAATGTCAACATTTCATAATTGTCCATTTAAAAATGGGTTACTACTGAGTAGTAATCAAATGTAAAAAGGCCTTTCCATTTCATTATGAATAATTCATATATAACATCAGTTTTGGCAATGATACATCTTAAGTTTCAGCAGAGCACAAAGAAAAAGGAAGAATACGTCTAAATAATAAAAAAAGATGACTTTTGACTCATGCAATAATAGTTCACTACATGTTGTCTGTTTACTTAAATAATAATAACGATAATAGTACATTTAATTTCAAAGCCAGTCTGAAGAGGTGTGTTTTGGTCAGTGTTTTGAAAGTGTGGGGGTGGGGTGGACACTGTGCCCATGTTACTTGTCTTTCATTTTTTGTAAAGCACTTTGAATTGCCTTGTGTTGAAAAGTGCTATATAAATAAACTTGCCTTGCCTTATGAGATACACAGAGTAACTGGATATAAACACAAAGTAAAAGCCAATGGAGGTCTGGCTCATCCGCCCATGCTAGTGTGGGCTTCTTCTGCTGTATTTCCCTGAGGCTCACCTGAAGGCCTAAGCATTATGCTAACACAAGGATGTCTATTAACTGCTAGTACACACACTCTGCCTTTTGGTGTCATCCATGTACAATCCCAACGCCCTGCCCTGTCACACACTCACTGATGGGTCTCATACATGCTGTACACACATATACAGAGGTTAGTCACACATCACTGGCTGAGGTTTAGAGGACATGTCACTGTGTCTGAGTCACACAAAAACTCATCAGTCACCCAGCCGGACGCATGTGGCCTCTGCCTCCGCCCGCTCACTGCTAACTGCCTCTGAGTGGAAACTGTCACACCAATGGTCAGCCTGTGTATGCATGACTGTGTGTGTGTGTGTGTGATCTGGCAAACTTGTGTTCCAGTTCTTATTTGTGTGTCTGGCCCCTCTGGCGTCAACACTACGCTGTGTGTTAAATCCCCTGCTCTCCGACAGTGAAACCAATTGTCCCAATTGTTACAGTGCTAATGAATCATTTAGCTGAAACAAAACACACACACTCATTACACACACCCACAGGTAGAGATGACCAGTGGCGTTTCTATATGTACAAAACTGGGGGGGAAGAGAGGTGGGGAGAGAGGGGGGGGGGGGGGGGGGGGGAAGTGTGTCAAATG